GTGGCACTAATCCTTTCCATCCTTCAGACTTCCCCAGGGTGTGATATTGTTGTTTTAATTCACTATCTTGGCAAGAGGAAGTATGAATAGGGCAGTATACACTTAACTGTGCCCTCCTAAAATATGTGTTGGAACTCTGAAGTCTACATTTTTGGATGTAATCCCACTTGGAAATATGATCTTCTTTATTCTGTTAATGTCCGGTGGGGTGGCATAGTATGTAACATGTCAAGCTTCTAAAAGAAAAGCCAATAGTTTAATGCTACCAGATTAGCTTCAGGAGAAAGAAAGATGAGGCAGACTTCTCCTGTAAAGATCTGTAGGGCACTCTGGTGGCATAGTCCACAGGGAGCTGCTATGCAAACCCAAAGGCAGCATCTCTCAGCTGTTTGAAATCCACCAGAAGCTCCATGGGAGAAAGATGGGCAATCTCCTGCCATGTGATTTACAGCCTCTGAAAATCCATTGGAGTGGTCAGCTATGAGTTGGTTCCAACTAAATGGCAATACCTTTTTTTTTAGTTTTATTCTGCTGAGATATTATCACTTTTAAGATCTATTAAAGTAAGAAAACAAAAGTGGAGGAAAGATGACATTTAGATTGCCAAGTGTAAAAAGAGCAAGGGCTATGTGGGAATGGCCATATCTGACCTTTACCAACTTCACAAAGGGAAACCGTCCCTGTCAACAGTATCAATAACTCGGAACCAATTTCCATGAGGTCAGACATGTCCCCCATGGTCTTATACCTCTTTCTACTCATTCCAACACCGATCTTACCTATTTGCTGGGTCCAAAATCCAATGAGATAGCTCACAGACCACACAGAAACATACTGGGGAAGCCAAAAGGTTATAATCTAAATTAATAACAGACTATAGTCAAGATAGCTCCAGAAAGGCACACATAGGCACCTCAGCCTCGAGCTTTGTGGCTTTTGGCCGGTGTTCCCAAGTTCTCAATACTGGCTTCCCATGTCTAGTTGTCCAACATGGTTCTCAGTCTTGCCAATATTGGCTTTTCCCTAAGCCCCAATGTCCCATCTCACGTCAGGTCTCCAGTTCAGCCATAGGTGTTGATGTCATAGGTGTAGCTGGAGCAGGAAGGACATCCTACATTATCTTCAATGGTGCCAGAAGATCTGTCTGTGAAGCTAGATGTATTGGTGAGACTAGCCAATTTCTTAGTGGAATGGTAAACAGCCAATCCTACTGTGGAAGAGTAGATAGCTAATCCCCTTGTAGATGGGCTAACATGCTCCATTCACATATTCCCACCCTTCGACATAGCAAAATCAAATAGGGGCTAGATAAGTCATATTGAAAGATAAACTCCATACCAAGAAAACAGGAAAAGCTAAAAAAGAACATTAGAGTAACAGAGAACGATTTTTCCCCCTCCAGAGTCAACAGAGTGAAATGAACTGGTCACCGAAACTGTGAGAAAATAGATTTCTGGGTTTGAAAAGTAATCCCTTGTGGTACTTCTGCTACAACAGCACTCAATAACTAACAACTCAAGGCAGGCAGGATCAAAGGTGTTTTACGACTTTTACTAGGATTGCTATAAGTCAAAGGTGACTTAACCACATCTAACAACTAAAGGGTCTGTGGGGTCTGGTGGCTGTCCTGTGAGGTGCCCAACTTCAGCCAGGAAGAGATCGATATTTGTTCCTATCCCAAAGAAAGGCCACCCAACCGAATGTGGAAACTACAGAACAATTTCACTGATTTCACATGCAAGCAAGATTTTACTGAAGATTATCCAAAAACGACTGGAA